CAGTTCCAATAAATTAAATTCAGTTTTACACATTACAAATTAATAACTTATAGAGATAAAAGGCCGAAGAAATCGAGAAAAGTAATGCTCAAATTACTTACAGTGTTACACATTACAAATTAATAAAAAAAAATTAAGTCAGTTTATTGATTGCAATTTTTTTCTATTTCGGTTTACTCAGGTTAAGTCTTTAGCTTAAATAGATTATGGTCATTTAAGGTATAAAATAATTTTGGTTCAGGTCACTTTAGGTTTCGAGTCTATTTGGGTCAATTAATTCAAGTTAAAGGTCGGGTCACTTTGGGTATCGGGTCACCGTTTTCGGGTCATGGGTCGAGTTTTGGTTCGAGTCACTTTAGGTTTCGAGTCTATTTGGGTCGATTAATTCAAGTTAAAGGTTGGGTCACTTTGGGTATCGGGTCAACTTCGGGTCACCGTTTTCGGGTCATGGGTCGAGTCATTCGTTCGGTTCATCGGGTCTGGGTCAGGATTGCCAGGTCTATATATATACACATATATATGTGTGTGTGTGTATATATATATATATATATATATATATATATATATATATATATATATATATACGTACTCGTATGTTCTAAATTTTAAATATGATGTTCCAAAATTTTAACTTCTATGTTCTAAATTTTAAAACGTGTGTTTTAAGATTTTCAATTATATCTTCCAAATTTTAAAGCGTATGTTCTATTTTTTTACTCGTATGTTCTAAATTCTTTACTCACACTTTCTATATTCTATATTAATTTGTTCTAAATTTTTATTCACATGTTCATAATCTTAAATCAGATGTCTAAATTTTACTCATATGTTTAAAATTTCATAAAGCAAATTTTATAAATTTTTAATCACTTGTTCTAATTCTTAAATCAGATGTTCTAAACATATTACTCACATAAATGTTCTAAATTATTACTCATATGTTCAAAATTTTAATTTAAGTCACATGTTCTAAATTTTAGCTCGCATGTTCTAAATTTTAACTCACATGTTCTAAAATTTTACTCACATGTTCTAAATTTTAAATCAGTTCTCATATAAGTATGAATTCTCACATATGGACCTATTCTCACCGGATCCCTCCCCTATATATATATATATATATATATATATATATATATATATATAAATTAAGATGTGTAATTATTGAAAGAAAATGTTATTTGGGATGTCGGAGATGTATCAAGGTGTATTTAATATAATAATCGTCATATTATATACTCCCTCTGTTTTTAAATACTTGTTCCACTTTTCTTTTTCAATCGTTTTTAAATACTTGCTACATTTCCTTATTTGAAAAGCTTTTACAATTTTTAGTTAATTTCTCTCAAGAAGTGAACCCAACAATATTAATTACATATTCTCTTTCCTTCAATTCTCTCCACTACTTTTGATTTTTACGTACAAATTTTTATTCATTTACCAACCCCACTACTTTCATATTTTATTACTTTCTCCAATTTCTCCTAAAACTTCGCGCATGGAGAAATGAAGCAAGTATTTAAAAACGGATGGATTACATGGACATATATATATGTGTCATGATGCCACGTGTACACAGTACACATAAAGAGTAGCCATACAACATGCATGAAAGTAATCCTCATAATATAATTAGTGCTTAGTTCCTTAGCTTGGGTACCTAGATTACATTTTAAATAAAATTAAATGTATAACCTTAGCTTGACTTTAAGTTTGTCATGTATATTACTAGTAAATTTCTTGAATTTTATATAAATGTTTCCCAAAATTATTTCATTGAAAAGAACAATTATATATACATAGCATATATCAACTCTTTTGCAAGGAATAGCTTTCTAGAAAAGGGCTTCTTCCTAAACAGAAATAAATAAATAAAAAGGTGCCAACAGCTCATAGAAACTACTCATAAACTATACAACGTAACCAACTTAAGTAACATTGATCATCTAAAGGCAAGTTTTCTTTGGCATACATTAACAATTTTAAATTGACCAATTTAACTTAAAATATACTAATTAATTTACTTTTGTTTAAACTATAGATGAAGATTGAATACTATTCTTTGATTGTGCTACTGCCATATATAGTAAGTGAGAGTCCCTGAGAGATAAGCAAAGTAATGTAGTTGTAAGCTTTATTCTAGAAACGAGTTAATTTAATAACTTTTGTAAATATTGTAAATTTGTAATCCATCTGCTCCCTTATCTTGTGAGCTGGCTAACAAAAATGAAGTGTATGAATTGCCAACTTATTTTTTATGTATAGTACAACTATCATTTGACATGCTTTTTTATGTACACAATCTATAAGTAAGCTAAATACGAAGTATTTTGTGGAGATGGTAAGGAACTCATCTCTTAAGGTCACAAGTTCAAGGTCTAATCTTACCACCTACATGGCTACATGCATATGCTTAAGAGTATAGGGTGTCTCTTTATCTTTAATTGTCATCCATAAATGGCATGTTCCACCATCTATCTGTAGCTGAGAACTAAGAAATACTCTCGATATAACTTTAAACATTCAAATTGCTCCAAATTAATTGAGCATTCGCATTTAGAGCCAACAAAACAAATCCAATTCGGATTACATACCCGTACCGAAATACCCAACCATCACCCGATTTGCTCCTAAAACCCGAAGTGACCCAACTTGAAGTGAAGTTCACCCCCATTTGACCTAACCCAAAAGTTAACCAAACCTTACTTGAACTTACCCGACCCAATTTTTAATCCCAATTGATGCCTTTTTAAAAGAAAATGGGAGAGTATACAAGTTGTAGGACTAATAATTCAAACTCATATCAACATTCATAAAAGTAAATGCTCATTCAATTCCAAAGTATTTCTGTTGGACTTAATGATTTTGATGATGACGCAACCTCACTTACTTACAAACTAATAAGTGCTTGATTGTTTAAGTGTGTGTTCAGTTGCAAAGACCAGGAGAATTAAGTATCTTGTAAAAATACCATGAGGAACAACAAGGCCAGAAGCAGAGCTATCCATTAAGAAGAGTTCCTTACAGGAACTGGTGCTTCAGAAATGAAGACTTGAGAAGAGAAGGTTCCCCTCAGGGAACAGAAGTTTCAGAGAAGAGAAGTTCCTCCCAAGGAACAAGAAGCCTCGGAGTAGAAGCTTCATCAGAGAACATGAAGACTAAATATATTTTTATATTTTATGATTTGTGTAAGTATAAGAAGTTAATTACACCCGAAAATTATGTGTGGAATTGGTCTTAGGAAAAAATATGGTGCATGCTAGAAATTAGGAAATTGGTTAAGTGGTTAAATTGAATATCTTTTCTTAACTAAAAAGATTTTATTTATTTTCTGATTTTCGAAAATATCTTGTGCAAAAAGATTTTATTTATTTTCTTATTTTTGAAAATATCTTTTGAAAAATAAAATCACCATGTTTCCCTTATCTTGCGGCCTACTCTCCCATGTTCTTCTTCAGTCATGGTTTTGCACATTGAGGAGTTCATGGTTCCTTAATTTAAGGGACATGATCTTCTTAGTGGGTATGAGTAGTGGCGTAATGAAATTGCTGCACAAAGAGGATTTTCCAAGACGTTGTTGATCTATAAATAGCTATTGATTTCTGTTGGAAAAACTCACCCTTGCTCACATAAGTTTTCAAGCTTTAAATCGAGTTAAGAGTCCAATTCCACACAAGTTTATTAGAGTGTTCTTAATGTTCTTATACTAGAGTTTTTATTTATCTTTCGAGTTGTAATTTGGGGAATGGAAAAGTTTGAGTGAACTTTTGTGTATGAGAAAGAGAAGAGAAAGAGAAAAGAGAAGAGAGAAAGAGAAGAGAAGAGTAACAAGTTGGGTGACTTGTTCCTCGGGGTTTCAGGTTCGTAGAGGAACTTGAGTTTGAGTCTTTAGTTTGTAATAGGACCATTTGCCCTATTCTAGTGAAGATTCTTTTCCCAAAATCCCAAGTGGTCGTGGTTTTTTCTCCTTGTTAGGGCCAAGAAGATTAACACGTAAAAATCTCTCTTGCATTTTTTAGTTCCCTTAGTTAATCTTTCTGTTCCTTTAGCTTATTAATCTTAATTCCGCAAAAAGTTTGGCTAAAGTCTCATACTACAATTCAACCCCCCCTTCTTGTAGTATTCATTGAAACAACAATTTCCCCCAATTTAAATTTTGCACTATTTACATACATTATTTTGACCTCAATTTATCCTTTATACTTAAGATTAAATATAGGCATGTGAACACTTATTTGAATCGTCTAAATGTATAGTTTTCTAATATCTACTTTATATAAATATACTTTTTGATAATTAAAATTGTCATGATTATAATATTGCACTGACACAAAATGTGTAATTATTTACGAAGTACTACCTTCGTTAAATATTATGTGCAACTTTGGAATATTTTCACAAATAATACCTCAAAGTTGCATATAACAATTAACGGATGTATTTTGGAACGATCAAGTAGTTCTTTCCTTAATCTTAATGGGCCATCTTTCTCCTTACGTTAACATTGGGCTTCCTTACCGTACCCAACCCAACTAGCTAGGAAATCTAACAACTTTATTACTATCTCTTAGAGTGTGTACCACACGCATCTATTTCAACACCAATAATTTAATGTAACAAGTCCAAATTATACAATAAATTCAACAAAGTAAGAAATAGAAAAGCAAGCAAACTTGAAATTTCATGCGCACACCCACTCTCATCTAAAGTAAATGCACTACAATATATTTTCTAATATTATATTACCAACTATAACTTTACTAACTCTTTCAAATCAACCTTTTTTTTCTTCCTTTTTATTTGTCAATATTTTTTCTTCCTTTATTGGGCTATATATAGGACTCACCTCATTTCCTTTCAATTCTCATAACAAAATCAAAGCCTTGTCTTCTCAATTATATTTTTCTCTCCTCAAAAAAAAAAAAAACACTCTCTTGCTCTTTACATTCACACAAAAAAAAATACAAAAACAAAACAATTACATACCTTAAAGCTTAAAAATGGAGCCAAATATTTCAAATTTATCAAAGAAATTATGGAAAATAGTGAAGGTGGCTATCTTCATGATAAAGAAAGGTTTATGCATAAAGAAATTACTCATGGATCTCAACTTGATGATGAAGCGCGGTAAGCTTGCTAGTAAAAACCTTGCAAACCTAATGCTCCACCACCACCATCACCACCACGACGATGACTACATCTCCAAAGTCGGGTTAGCTACACCCAACAACAACCCTAACGACGACACCACTTGTGTGTACGAGTTTAGTTGTAGTGACACCCCTTTATACCGCCATTACTTCACCAACAAGTTAAAGAAAATCAATCGTCACCAAAATAAAAATGTAAAAAATCCCTTATACATGCCTTCTCCTTATTATCAAGAAGATGGTGAAAATGTTAACCTAGAGGATGTTAGCAACATGGTCGATATGATGTTACACAATGAACAAGTTTCGGTCCCTTCACCGGGTTTTACTAGTCGTCTAGGGTTTGGACGTAGCCCTAGGGTCCGGCAGCTAAGGGTAACGGATTCACCGTTTCCGGTGCATAATTCGGAGGAGGACAAGCATGTGGATCAGGCTGCTGAGGCTTTTATCACCAAGTTCTATTCTCAGCTCAAGCAACAAAAATACAATTAAAAATATTTGTTCCAAGGTTTTTTTTTTTAATTATATAAGTTGTAATAAAAAGGTAAAGCTTATTAAGCTACGTTTTTGTAGGAAGTGTTACAATAGTTTAAATTAGGGTTTTATTTTTTTATTAAGACAAAATGATAAATATACTATGTATTTAATGGAAAATGTATGACATTGTTTACAATAATAAAAGTATTATTATTAAATGTAACGTTGCACGAGCAATATTATTCCTTAGTGCATAAGTTTTGAGAATTATTTATATGATTTGAATTATTATTATATTATAAGTTGTGGCTATAGTTTGTACTAGTTGCCTAGTTGGTACAGTAGTACTTTCAATTCCTCCTAATTTTCTTTTAATTTAGGCATATTTTGATTTTTGGTAGCTAGATATTCTATTTCGATACTAATACGGCTATATACTTTTATTTTGTGCCTTTGAAAAATTAAGTATAAAGTGATATATATTTAAATATGGTTGGCTATGTTATTTGCTCCTTCAATTTGGGAAAGGTCTCAATCGAGACTTTCAACTTGTGCTTTGCGAAACATGGAATCTAATAGAGAGTTCTAGTAAAAGGCTCAAGTTCCCATGTTAATTGACAACTAACAAGATTTATAGAGTATATTCAACATACTCTTATATATTTAGGCCAAATACATGGGAACCTTTGAAAGAATATCTCCAAAGTACTGTTCCGGCGAATACTATATTAACTTTTTATAATTTTAAAAACAAATTATAAAAGAGAGTGCTCATTAGTCAAATCAATGCGAGTAACATAGGATTGAATTAAAGGGTATCAAAATGTAAGTGATTTATTTCATAAAATTTCTTGGATCGTAAGTAGTAATAGTGTATTTAAGTAATACTCTGTATACACGGGATAAGTCGTTAGGTCTTATCTGGACAATAGACAAATATCATCCAAATTTATGCAAACTACCCAATGGAATGACTGATTTTCAACATGCTATAATTTAAGTACAACTTATCATCACATACATTAATTATTTTATATTCAATTCATTTGACATTTAGGTTACAAAATGCCACAGTTTTTCTTAACTATAATGAGTAATAACACCAAACACCTAAACTGTAACCCCCTTACCTAAAAACAGATAAGCATAGCTAAGTTAATTAACAAATTAAAGCAAATAGAAATGGAGTAACAATCATAATATATATTCAAAGTTGTTATAATAATTAAATGCCCTTAGGACTTATCTAAAAACTGATAAAATATGGATTAGAGGGATTTAATTAAGCAATATTGCTTTAATTAAGATGACTAAGCTAATTATTTTTATACTTACAAATAACACAATAGTACTTGTAAAGTTGAATTTATAAATTTGTTGGGTGCAGAGCGTACTTGTAAAGTTAAGCATAGCATAATTAATCTACTAATTTGGTAGTAAAAATATATAATGTTGCTGTCATTGTTATTATTAGTAATAACAAATAAGATTTTAGAAATAAAGTTGGATTATTAAGGATTTGGTTTGCTATAAATATACATTAGAAAGTAGAATACTCTGACGACATAACATAATGTAACATAATTCCATTATGTTATGTATGCTAGTAGGCTAGTAAAGTACAATACAAGTTGTACTACTTGATTATTCTCAATTTATTAATCTTTCAACTTTCTAACCCGAGTCCTTTCTATTGAACTTCATATTAGGTGGAAACAATGGAGTTTTCTAGAGAAAACCCATATCAGGAAGTACCTTTTGGCCTTTTGCATATACAACATTACAACTATACAAGTACTCCATATTACGTACTATCTTCGCTCTTAAATGATGGCTACCTGGCAAACGGGTCATTCGGGCCAGATTCGGGTCGGATCAGGTTGATTCGGGTTTCGGGTCAAATTCGGGTCTGTACTTTGGGTCAAGTTCGGGTCGTATCTATTCGGGTTCGGGTCATTTTTCAGGTCATCTTTCAGGTTACGGGGCAGGTGTAATCCCCCGTATTTTTAAATATTTTATAAATGAAAATTTATTTTATTTATAATATTTATTTGTTATTTTTCATAATTTAATTTTAAAAGTTTCAAATTATTAATCTGGGTCGAAATTTATTTGAACAAATTATTTTATGCACCTTTATTCTACAATTTATGTCCAATCACACAAGCCTAACCCATTTGTTTACTTAATCGAACCATTATTTTTATGAGGCCCAATCTTTCTTTTTACCCTACAATAATTCTCTCCTATAAATACCCCATGAATCTCCAAAAATTTCCCACACAAAAAGGTTAGTCTTATTTTCATCCTCCTTTGTTTCATTATTTTGCTTAATGTTAATTTAATTGTTTTGAGTTTTGATTTTAGTATAAAAATTATATTTTTAGTATCAAACTATATTTTAATGGTATAAAGATTATAAATTTCAGATTATATTTATGTTATAAATTTCATATTTTATGAATTATAAACCTACGGTTTCAATTTATTGAAAATCATGATTTTAGGGTTTTTATGAACAATTGATTTAGGGCTTTTATAGTAATGATGTTTTGAAATTTTGGTGATTATAACTACTGATTAGTTTAACTTAATTCCAGTTTATTTTGAAAACGTAGATTCGTGTTTTAATTTTTAGATTTTCGTTCGTTAATATTAATCCCGTTTTAATCCCGATCAGATTCTGAACTCATCCGATTTTGATGAAAAAGTAGTGTTTTCCATGTGGAAACAACGTTTTAAGAAAGAATCATTACCTTTGGTAGTGTGTACCACCCTCTCGTGGCCAAATTCAGCCTCTAAATATGATTTTCGGGCAGTTTTTTATTTTAACGAAGTTTTTTATACTTAAAATATTATCCTTGAGTTTGATTAATAAAATTAATTATGTTTAAAGTTAATTAAGCATAAATATATGTTTTTATTGAAGTTTTAAGTGTTGGAAATAGTTTCTAAGTATTACTTTTGATGTTTTATAAAGAGGGTTTAATCACCCATTAAAAAGGGAGATTTTTAAGGGTTTTTATATAATTTTCAGATTTTTATTAGACTTTGAACTTGCTGTAATTTCATGTATAAGAGTGTATTTTAAGGTTTTTATGAAGAAAATTTAAAGAACTATATATAAGCCTTTAATTTTAACTAAAGGGAAGGTTTTAAAGTGTTGTTTGATTTGGATTTTGAAGGTTTTAAAGTAAGTTAGTATTGCTGTAAATTTGATTGATTGGGTATTGATTGAGATGTTATTATTTGGCTTAGGAGAGGAGTTTATTGAAGGTGATTTCTAGTTAGTAAAGTGGCATACCAATTCGTTTGCTCAAGGTACGTACAAGTTACGAAACCTTTCTTTTAGGTGCATGCTTAAGGACGACGGATCGAGAACTTAGTATCATGTATAGGGATGATTGAGTTAAATTGTTTGGTTATACATTGTGAATTTCGTATGACGTGCACTATTTTATATTGCAAGTATTATTTGTGCTCTAATTATGCAAGGTGCGCTTAGAGGCAAAGGCATATGATTGGTGTAATGATTAATTTATTACTCGTTCATGATTATGCAAGCAGGATGAGTAAAGGGAGAATTTAAGTCTTCTAAGACGAGGTTAAGGTTTTGGGGTGCCTTATGCACTCAAGGTGTTTATACACCGAGGTAGTAAAGGAATAAATAATAAATGTTGCTTGCCACTAATAAATCAAGAATTGAAATTGAAAAGTTGTTTTACTTGATTGAATTGATATTGTATTGATTGTATTGTTATGCATATGAGTCATCACCAAGTCTAAACCTGTAAATCACGTAAAGTGCAAGATGGATGAGCAATAAAACTCTAGATTGGTGCACTTCTAGAGTAATGACAATCAGGGTTTGGGGTACGTACATGGGGTATTAGCCGTGTACTTTTCTCGAGGCCGTCTGATCTACGAGTCTCTTATTTAAAATATTTTTCAAAACTAGGAATTAGGTGAGATCTCAAACTAACTACGGTCACGGAGTCGCGCTTGTGGTCGTTGGATGTTTATTGATGTTTCCGAAAGGAGGCATGGGGTTTTTCTTTTATTGATGTTCCAAATGGAGCATGGGTTGGACAACCTTGTCTATTGCGTAATCCAATAAATAAAAATAATGATTTACCTATTATTAATTAATGGAGTCTTAGTAATATAAATAGTTGAGTCGTGTCTTGAGTCTATAATTTAATGATGCATGATGATTGATTACTAGTAGCATGTTATGGATTTCTTAATTTATTTCGCAGCTTGTATGTACTCGGCTTTGCTGATGCGTGCTTTGTGTGTCTTTCTTTGGTCATGCCTTCACCTTTCAATGACCCTGTGACGATCCAATTTTTACACTTGTAATATTGGGGAGCAGAATTACCACAGGTTCTTACATATGCAGCATTCATCAGGGTTGTGGGATCTTGAGTAGAGAGTTGGTTGTTTGCATTTTATTTCTTTTGCAAGTTTGAATTTATTTTAATTTGATTTTATTCGACACTATTTCTTTTGGGTTTGAAATTATTTGAACACTGAATTTAATCACTTACTACTTTTATTGGGTTTTGAATAAGGGTCTTAATGGTTTCAAGTTGTATGACTTAATTTGGTTTCATTCGTTGGTTTTGAAACTTATTTATAACTGATTTAGTTTTTCCGCTGCTATTTTCTGATAAAGCCTTAACATTTGAACACGTGGCGGTAGCACGCCAGTAATTCTCTTGAATATTGTTCAGGGTCCTCACAGGTTTAAAGAGAGAATTATTGGGGTGTTACAACAGGTCGGGATTACCAGGTCTAGCTATCATAATCCATAACAAACTTTTGTGCATTTTAAGTAACTTAAAATTATTTTGGTTATTAACTTAATTTTAAAAAAAGGCAAAAGCTAACGAACACCCCAGGGACGTTGGATAACCTAGGTAAAGTAGAAGGATAAAATTAAAAAATTAACATTAATTACACTAATCAACGAGTGATTTTGTCATGTTTTTCCAATTTAATACCACTTTAAA